TCCATCCATTTTATATTACTCTGACAGGTGTGCGCTTGCATCTATATAATTGTTACCACGCTTAGCGCGTGCGTTCAGCATAAACACCCAGTCAACCGGATTTGGTGCAGGCGACTAACAGCGCCATTCAAAAGATCAGGGGAAGAATGCAAGTCGCACAGAGGCGTCAAAAGAGTTATGCGGACGTCAGGCGTAGGGAGCTCGAGTTTGTGGTAGGTGAACGGGTGTTTCTTCGTGTGGCACCCGTAAAAGGGATTTTACGATTTGGGAAGAAGGTCAAGCTCAGCGCAAGGTTCATTGGGCCTTTTGAAATTTTGGAACGGATCTGCCCAGTCGCGTATAGGTTGGCCTTGCCACCATCGTTGGCAGCGGTTCACAATGTGTTTCACGTGTCTATGCTGAGGAAGTATATTCATGACCTTTCGCACGTCTTGGACCCCGAACCATTGCAACTGGATGAGTCCTTGTGCTACGAAGAGGTACCCGTCAAAGTTTTGGCAAGAGAAACCAAGTTGTTGAGGAACCAGACGATTCGCTTGGTTAAGGTTTTATGGAGAAACCACCAAGTGGAAGAAGCTACTCGGGAGCGGGAGGACGATATCAAGGCGAGGTACCCTAAACTGCTAGAACAGTCAACTTTCGGGGACGAAAGTTTTTGAAGGAGGGAAGTCTGTAACGCCCCGAGTCCCTCAGGTTAGTTGGTCTCGAAACAGGAGATTTTTCATTTAATACTAAATCGATTGTTAATTAAATTATCTATATTTATCGGGCTCTAAAAATCCAATTAAATTATAATTTATCGAACTTTGTATGTTGGGTCTTGTTTTAAGGGAATGGACTCCTTCATCTTTGGGCTTGGATGATTAGGCTTTCATTGAGGGAAAATTTGTTTTAAAACAAAACAAAAGGAAATAATAAAAAAAAAGAAAAAAAGAAATGTAAAATAAAACAAAACAAAAAGGAACCCTAACATTTCTTCTTCTTCTTCTTTTTTTCTTCCTTTCTTCTTCCCCATTCCTAGCCCTAGCCGCCGCCCACCCTTCTCCTTCTTGTTCTCCGACGAAGCAGCACGGCAGCAGCGAGTTGTTCTCCCTTCACTTTTCCGGCGACGCTTCCTCCGATCCGCGGTGACGGCACTGGCAACACGCTCACGAACCCGACCACGCCTCCACGAGCAGTGACGCTCCTCAGACCCAGCCGGCGGCGGCGCTTGACGAACCAACGGTGAC